TTTGGAAAATGTTCCCATTCACAGAGCATACCTGCAAAAAGATTAAAAAATTGCAGCTTAACTTTTATTAGATACTCCTTTCTGGAAACTCCAACACTGGAAATTCCTACTTGGTTTTCCTTATTTATGAGGGAGCTGGGGAGCTGTGTTTGCCATAATTAACCCTATTCATACATTGCTAGCAGATGCCATCTCATTGGTTATAAACTAGGTTTGAACTTTGTCAATGGCTACTCCATTGTATGTTAAAGAGAGGGAGCTCTGCCTGTCCCTAAACCTTTATTCTTGCTTGGAGTCAGCCCTGGTACTTTCTCCTAAAAAAGCATCTAAGTACTAAGAAACATTAAAGAAAAACATTTGTAAGTATGCTGTGTGAATAGGTACACATAACAAAAATAAATCGAGGGTTTCTCAAATTTTGAATGAATAAGTGGATCAAGTAGAAACAAAAAAAATGCATATTATTTTGTATTCTTCTTTTGAGTCAACAAGTAGCTTGTTAGGCTCTGTTTATGGAGTTTAAGAGCCCAAGCTGATTTAGCATATACAAGTGAGTGAGTCAGGTCTTGTTTATGCTTGCATTGCCTTCTGAAAAGCGAACCATGCTGGATTGCTTTTCACAGGGCTTTTGACAGGTAGTGAGTATGATATTTAGTGTTACTAAACCCAGGACCCTGCATTCACTATATCTGGTCTCCCATAGTACACATTACATGGAATGCATTTATTTCAATCAACTGCTAAATACCTTTTCTCATCAGCAGTTAGAGCAGTCTAGTGACTTATATTAGTGTTCAGCAGAGCACTGGTTACAGCTTGTAGGAGTTTTCTTTCTGCTCTAAGAGGATGTAGAACCCCTGACCTCTTGTCTGGACGGTGCCGATTGGCCCAGTGCTGATCACATGCACTCTCCCAATAAAAAAAAAAACCCTTTCTAGCAATACACACCAAACTGAGCATGTGGAGTGTCTCCACACGCTATGTCTTATCAGAAGATAACGGGGGCACTGGAAGAAGGGGAGGATGAGAGAACCAATTATTATTAACCGATTCCCGATCACCCTATAGCAGAAGTACTGCTACAGTACGGCAGGGATGTGCAAAATCACGTATAAAAACGTGATTTTGCACTTACAGGTAGGGGGCGTGCGTGCTCCCCACTTGCGCCACTATTGGCTCCTCGGCATGTCAGTCATGGGCCCTGGCTGCCAATTCTCACCCGGGACACAGTGATCATCGGCGGAGCTGACGGGAGAGGTCTGTATGTAAACAACACAGATCTCTTCCCTATCAGCATGAACAGGCTGCTTTGTATTGCTCTGCACAGCAGAGCAATGCAAAGCAGCTTGTCTACACAGTAAATAACACACTGCACAGTGTTAACCCTTTGATCGCCCCAGATGTTAACCCCTTCCTGCCCAGTGTCATTAGTACAGTGTCAGTGCTTTTTTGTTAGCACTGATCACTGTATTAGTGTCACTGGGGATGTAAGTGGCAGTTAGTTCCCCTCCAGTGTCAGAATGCCTGCTACAGTCCCTCAATAAGTTGCTGATCGCCGCCATTACTACGTAAATAAAAATTCCAGTGTATATATTTATACCGCCATTTGTAGACGCTATAACTTTCACGTAAACCAGTTAATTTACATGTATTGTTTTTTTGTTTTTTTAGCAAAGATGTAGCAGAATAAATTTTGGCTTAAATTTATGAAGAAATTAGATTTTAAAAATTTTTACTGGATATGTTTTATAGCAAAAAGTCAAAAATGTTTTTTTCTTTTTTCTAAATTGTCGGTCCTTTTTTGTTCATAAAAAATGCACAGGTGATCAAATACCACTAAACGAAATCTCTATTTGTGATAAAAAAAAGGAGATAAATTTAATTTATGTACAGCAGTGCATGACCACGCAATTGTCAGTTAAAGTAACGCAGCACCGTATCGCAAAAAAGTGCCTGGTTAGGAAGGGGGGTAAATCTTCCGGAGGGCAAGTGGTTAAATGTGCGCACCATTACAGTTGAAGACTACATTAAAGGGTAATTGGTATATGTGTTAGAATGGTTGTTTGAATATAGTCCAGAAACTTTAGCTCTATGTTTGATGACATCAGTATTTCCCTGTAAATCTTCTAGTCTGTAAACTAAGATTATCAATCCAGTGTGTATATTTATGTAGGATGGCAATCCAGTCGTTCTTTGAGGATCCCGTTGTTGTATATAACATTGCATATGATGAAAATATACTTCTGATATAGTTTTAGATTTTATCTTATGATAAAATAAAAAAAGATGTATTTTCTATAAGATGTTTGGCGTTTAGCAAGGAATGAAGACAACTGCTTGTTTTAAAAGCTTTTGGATTGCAACCATGCTATTTTACATTATTACATATTATAAAAAGTTGAAATTAGAATTGTGTACTAAGTTGTGAGATATGATTTGTAAAAAAAAAACAAATATTTTCAATACAAATCACAAAGTTTCTCTAAGGGACTCCTAACACTTTACTAACTGCCAGCATGCTGGGTTTCCACATTGTCTTGCCTGTTGTCACCAAGGACTATCACTATGCAATAGCAAGTCTCATTATCCATTGCACCTCTGCTAACAAAAGGTTTAATAATCAATCATGAGAGAAATACAAAGACTGCCAAAGTTGATTTCCTTCTGTAAATGCTACTTCTCTGGCTGTTATCCTGACCTTTTGACACTCATCCTTTTAGTCACTGACTTAGAACAAGAGTTCAGGTCAGGAATGTCAAGCAAAAGCAAGAATACTTAATGTGCATATTTGTCCCAGGATAGAGTATTGAAGCAAGAGAGTCACCATGATAGCCTGACAACTAATTAAAAGGAGGAGGTCAGCAATGGCATGGCAGCATGCATATTCTCTAATGGCAGATTTCTTTTAAAGCAAACAATCCATAATTACTTCATATGTTTGATCATGTACATTGCAGAATATTGTAATTCAATGCTTCCTAAAAATAAATGTGAAAAACACATAAGGTGTACAGTTGTGTTAACAATAATAGCAGTGTGTTGAAAAAAGTGAATAAAGCTCAAAATCCTTCCAATAGCTTTTATTTCCATACACACAAATGCATTGGGAACACGACACATTCTATTCCAAATTAAAACATGAAGAAAATATATAAAATTTGTGTTGTTCCTCTAAAAAAAATTGAAGAAAAGTGAATATCAGACTGTTCAAAAAAAATAGCAGTGTTTGTATTCTTCTTTACAAACTCAAACATTCACTATATAAACTGAAAAATGTTTGAAGATTTTGCTTTCCTTTGAATCACATAATGAATATTTAGTTGTATAAGCACTGTTTCTGAGAACTGCTGTACATCTGTGTTGCATGGAGTCAACCAACTTCTGGCACCTGTGAACAGGTATTCCAGCCCAGGATGATTGGGCTACATTCCACAGTTCTTCTCTATTTCTTGGTTTTGCCTCAGAAACTGCATTTTTGATGTCACCCCACAAGTTTTCTATTGGATTAAGATCCAAGGATTGGGCTGGCCACTCCATAACGTCAATCTTGTTGGTCTGGAACCAAGATGTTGCACGTTTACTGGTATGTTTGGGGTCGTTGTCTTGTTGGAACACCCATTTCAAGGGCATTTCCTCTTCAGTATAAGGCAGCATGACCTCTTCAAGTATTCTGATGTATTCAAACTGATCCATGATCCCTGGTATGCGATAAATAGGCCCACCACCGTAGTATGAGAAACATCCCCATATCATGATGCTTGTGCAACCATGCTTCACTGTCTTTACAGTGTACTGTGGCTTGAATTCAGTGTTTGGGGGTCGTCTGACAAACTGTCTCTGGCCACTAGATCCAAAAAGAACAATCTTCCTTTCATCAGTCCACAAAATGTTTTTAGGCCAGTCAATGTGCTCTTTGGCAAATTGTAACCTCTTCAGCACATGTCTTTTTTTCAACAGTGGGACTTTGCGGGGGCTTCTTGCAGATAGCTTGGCTTCACATAGGCGTCTTCTAATTGTAGCAGTACTCACAGGTAACTTTAGACCTTCTTTGATCTTCCTGGAGCTGATTGTTGGCTGAGTCCTTGCCATTTTGGCTATTCTTCTATCCATTCAAATGGTAGTTTTTGCTTTCTTCCACGTCTTTCAGGTTTTGGTTGCCATTTTAAAGCATTTGCGATCATTTTAGCTGAGGAGCCTATCATTTTCTGCACTTTATATGTTTTCCCCTCCAATCAACTTTTTCATCAAGGTACGCTGCTCTTCTGAACAATGTCTGGAACAACCCATTTTCCTCAGCATTTCAGAGGGAAATGCACTGTGACCAGTGTGTACAACATTTGCTGCCTTCCTTCCTTAAATAAGGGCAATAATTGCCACCTGTTTTTCAAAGAATGAATGACTTACTAATAGAACTCCACACTGCTATTATTTTGAACATGCCCCTTTCAATTAGTGATTCAATTACACAGAATCAGCAGCATGCATGTCATGACTGGTGGGTTTGTTGGATTTCTATTACTCTACTACACCTGCTAGTCAATTATTTGCCATGTAGAAATATCATTTCTACCAAAAACAGTGATTGATCAGGTTAGTGATGTCTGACTGCTATTATTTTGAACACAACTGTATATTATACGTTGCAGCATCTATGGTGGTACAGCACTGGGTAGCAATCATTGTTGATTCTTGTACCCTCTATAGTGAATTTTCATTGGTGGAGCCTGAATGTTGAGGGAGAGAAACTTGATGAATAACTGAACCAATTGTCAATCACTTGAAAGTTTTGTTTATTTTCTGCTTTACAAAATTAGCATTATATATTGAAATAACAGTTTACTTTTAAATATAATTGGATACTGTACACAGAAAAAACATGCTGATATTAATTAATATTTTTGACAAAAAGAATATACTGTCTTTGGAGTTGCTACATCATTATAACAGTTATAAAGGGTAAGGTGTTTCCTTGACACATATGTATTGCTTTATATCTGCAGATAAATTATACATGGGGCCTGGGCAGCTTTATCATGACTTACAGAATCTGCTACATGATTTGGATGTTGTCAATCAAATTTCACAATTAATATTGCAGCTAAAAGGAAACTATCAGGTAAGAATATGCACTGTGCTTTAAATGTTATTAAACTGGTAAACACTTTTTGTTGTGTTTTTTTTTTTTTTTTTGTTGTTTGTTTTCAACCAGCAGGCTGAACAAAAAACTAACAAATTCCTGCATCAACAAAAGCTGGGTGGATGCAGGAGTCTCCCCCACTTTTCTGTTCTGTTCTAACAGCGGGAACTCCTCTGTTGTCAGAGTACACTGATCAGTGCTGAGGCTGCTGATTGAAGGAGGTTTTCCAGCAGGACTGTTTAAGAGCTGATCTAACAATCGGTGTTTGTCAAACCAGGAGGGCTGCACACAGATCGGAATTCAGCTGGTTCAGCAGGGACTGGGCAAATTCCAATCCGTGTGTACCCAGCTTTAGACTACAGAAACATAACAAATAGATCTTTATTAGCTGTGAACGTTTAATTGTAAACTGAAGCCATGGATTTCACACACTGTACTCATAATGAGCAAATAGCCTGAAACAGCTGTATGCAATTTGGAATAAATGCCTTTTTAATATTTTCTATATATGCACTATACTCCAGCAGTTCTGGATGTGTATAAGATGCAAAGAGGTAATTTACATCTCACCACCCATTATCTTGAAATAATTAATAATCCTATTTTTAAAACGTGATTATCTTCTGTTTTAAGGCTTTACTGTGCTATGCTATTGTAAGGTGTAGAAGATTGGAAACTTTTCCCACTGAGAAAAGTGGTTGTTTCAACAGCCTGTATTGGTGTCAGTAAATGCTCCAATATAATGTTAGATGTAAGAAGAATTAGTTTAAAGTGAAAAGCAAAGTAAATGCATACTTTAAATATGACCAGCAGTTTAGTCTTACCCTTGAGTATTAAAAGCCTAAGTGTAGGTAAAAAAAAAAACACAAAAACAGAAAAATTATCACAAGGGATATGACTTACAGTTAGTAGGATGTGTCCCTTGTGCTGATTCCTCCTCTGTTTGTAGAAATCCTCTTCCATTCATGAGCCTCACCCCCATAATCTATCAGGCAGGGGTTAAGAAAACCAAAAGGCTGTCACAGGCTCTCATCAAGAGATCTTGACCATGCCGGCCCATTCCAGCCAGCTGCTTTGTTCATAGAATGTACATGCATAGTGTACTACAACTTCTATGGATAAAACAGAATGTATGAATGGAGGATGGAAGGATGATAATTCAGTGGACTTCTGGTCAGCCAGCATCCACCAATAACTAAAGTTAGGTTAGTTTTGGGTCGACGTGGTATAAATATTTGGTATTCTAAACCATTTGTAATACATTTTGAATGCTGCTTTGTTACCATATGTTGTTCTCTATTCTCCATATAGAACTTGAACCAGGTTGTAGCTCAGGATTGGTCTTCAGGTTTACAAAAGCTGATCTTGAAAAAAGAGAATGAAATTCGAGCGGCAGACCGCTGTAGAATTCAGCTCCGGCTTCCTGGCAAACATGACAAGTCAGTGGTATTTTTTTTCTGAAGATAATTTTCCAGTCAGTGTTCACATAAAAAGCACAAATTTAGAGAAACTGCAAAGCTATTTTGCATATTTATTAAAATCTTATTTTCCTAATATGTTCCAGATCAGGACGGCCAACTTTCTTCACAGCAGTGTTTAATACTTTTACCCCTGCTGCAAAGCAGTCATGGATCAATAACTTGCAGATGGCTAAACTTGCACTTGGTAAGTTGCACAGCCTTACATGTTGAGGACCTGTGCTGATTTTACAGAAAGACTGTTAGTTGTGTTTAAGAGGTATGTTATAAGAGAAGTTTGGATTGACAAAAAAAAAAACCCTGGCTGGTAGTTGTGGGGGTCTGCGGGCAGGGGGCTTATCGGAATCTGGAAGCCCTCTTTAACAAGGGGGCCCCTCAGATCCTGCCCCCCCCCCCCCCATGTAAATGAGTATGGGGTACATGGTCCTACTACCCATTTACAAAAACAAAGTGTAGTGTGAAAAAAAGACAAGACATGGTCTTTGACAAGTCACGTGGGGGGGGGGGGGGGCAGGATCTGGGGGCCGCCTTTTTAAAGGGGGCTTCCAGATTCCGTTAAGCCCACTGCCCGCAGACCCCCACAACTACAGGCCAGAGTTGTGGGGAAGAGGCCCTTGTCCCCATCAACATGGGAACAAGGTGCTTTGAGGGGGGGAGCCCCCCTGCCCCAAAGCACTCCCCCATGTTGAGGGCATATGGCCTGGTATGGTTCAGGAAGGGGGGGCCTCTCGCTCGTCCTCCCCTTTCCTGACCTGCCAGGCTGCATGCTCGGATAAGGGTCTTTTTTTTTTTTTTTTACGTTCCCCTTTTGGCGTAGGAGCCATTTTTTTTTTTTTTTTTTTTTTTTTTTACATTTTGGCGTAGGAGTTCCCCTCAAAATCCATACCAGACTTAAAGGGCTTGGTATGGATGGGAGGGGGGACCCCACGCCATTTTTTTTTTTTACATTTTGGCATGGGAGTTCCCCTCAAAATCCATACCAGACTCGAAGGGCTTGGTATGGATGGGAGGGGAAACCCCACACCATTTTTTTTTTTTTTTTTTTTATTACATTTTGGCGTAGGAGTTCCCCTCAAAATCCATACCAGACTCGAAGGGCTTGGTATGGATGGGAGGGGGGGACCCCACGCCATTTTTTTTTTTTTTAAATTTATTATGGTGCCGGTTTTTATTTTTTTTTTTTTTCTTCACTATAGCTCAGAGATTCAGCTGTCACTTTCCCCCCAGCTAAAAGAAAATTTCCTTTTAGTTTATTTCCTGAGTTAAAAGAAACAATGTTTCCTTTTAGTTTCTTAACTCCGGGGAAAGTGACAGCTAATTTTGTGAGCTATAGTGAAGAAAAAAAAAAGCCGGCAATTGCATTTAAAAATCAGCACCGACATACACTTCATATTGTGAAAAAAATGTGTAAACCAGGCATTATTTTCAATGGATTTGCATTAGTAAACTGAAAATTACATTAACCGAGGCATTTATAAACTGAGGTACACGTGTTTAATGTAGTATAAGAATGAAATCATTAATATACCCTATAAACTCACTTTCAGAAAACTTGGCTAAATGCCTATGTCATAAGATATTATTAATTGGAAAAGTTGTATTTTAAGTGATAGATACTAAAATTATGCAGTAATAACCTTTTACTTGATATAGTGTAAAGCATACAATTATTCCTGAAATCTGCAAGGTTTTGAGCTTTTGAAGCTTCCACCCGCACTTCAATTTATGACATTAATTCATTAAAGAATACTCCAGTTCTTGCATAATCCTCATCATGACTGTCTACTCATAAAGAGGAATACTGTTAAGTACTATTTGCATATTAACCGGTCATGCAAAATCGCTCCAATGCAATTAAGAAAAGTCAAAACACCATTCTATAGAAACACATATGCATGGTCTCCCTTTACCTCTAGCAGCCTAGCAGAATTGGAGGAATGGAACAAAATTGTGACTAGTAATTGGTTAACAGATTAAACCAGACATACTGTAGATATGCAGCAAATTGGGCTGAATTGTGGCAATCAGATGTTTTTGCAAACTTCCAATTTCCTCTGCTGGAAAAACTGGCTTGCTTCGTGATCTGGCAAAGAAGGTGTTTGGCTCTTTCATTTCCATTATCCAGTGTGTGCTAAAGAACCCCATCAGTCCTCACCAACCATATGATTGCTGGCTTAAGTAAACTGATAAAAAGGTACTTTCTGGCTCTTACCAGTCCACATCCTTTTAGGTCCCTATTCTTCATAGTGATACCCCCACCTGTGAAAGGACCATCATGCTGAAATGCAATGAAGGAAAGCAAGTGAACATTTAAGTTGTCCAAAAGTACCCTTTACCAGTCCACGAAATACTGGTACTCCAGTATTGCAGAAACCGTAATGAAATCTCCTGTGCTTAGTTGTAGTGCTAGGAATGTGTAGCCCATTTCTGCCTGGCTGGCTAGTAGTTATGGCGTGCCCTCATAGGACTGTGGGTGTTCTTGCATACACTGAAAACAACAAAGAGGACGCACCAACCTAGTGCATTACTAAAATAACAATGTATTTAAAATATATAAAATAGGTAATCCACTCACAAACACATGAAATGCATTTGGCATATAATATGATACAGACGAGACTGCCTCTAGGTTCACGGTACTCAACCAGTGGTGTGGGATGCCCCCATAGCATCCTAAGGCTTATGCAATTTGAGGGTTGTTCCCTCTTCTTTGGCTCTGAAGAGGCTCTGACCTTCAATGCTTAAGCCTTATAACGCTATGGGGGGTTCCCACACCACTACTGTGGACCTGGAGGTGGTCTCATCTGCACCCTATTATATGCCAAATGCATGTCATGTATTTGTGAGTAGATTACCTCTTTTATATATTTTAAATAAATTGGTAATCCAGTAGGCTGGTGAGCCCTCCTTTTGTTGTTGACTCCATAGCAAATGATCTGACTTGTAAAGCAGTACCCTGTATGGAAGATTAAACAGCTGGCTGTTCCAAGTTCTTGCAGCTGATGATTCCTCCTGCCATGTGGGGAAGCCTCCTGATACCCTCTTGATATGTGAAATCAGTATTCCAGGAGGTGGCAGGAGAACGCTTTGCATCATTCTCAAATAAATGCACTCTTCGGCCACTTTATTAGGTACAAATGTTTCCACATCTTGGTAACACAAATTGCTAATCAGCCAATCACATGGCAGCAACTGTCAAGGTCCTACCTTTTCCCTGAGGTTATGTTACTCCATGTGCTGGCGTCCATCTTGGATTTCTGCTGTGCATGGTGGGAATCCTTTTATGCCTTCAGGTCTCTGAGGTCCATCCCCCAGAGGGGTGTGGCTGATGACATATAAGCCTGTGGTCCGCACATGCTCTTTGCACTTGTGTCTTGTGTCTTTGTGTCGCTATTACTCTGTTCTGACTCTTGTGGCTCTCCTGGTATCTGATTCGGCTTGTTACTCGACTATTCTTTGTATTCTCCTTTGATCTGACCCTCTGTTGCTGAACCCAGCTCGTGACCTGTGATTCTCGTCTGCTGTCCTGTACTGTTTTGTCCTGTTGTTGTTGACCCGGCCTGTCTGACTACTCTTTTGTCTCTTCCACCAGCTACACGCCATTGGCGGCGGCCATTACCGCAGCTGGGGTGTCTCGGGGGCCGCGACCTGGTTCCTGGCTGCGTCAAGTCCATCCCCACCATCAGGGGCCCTGGTGAAGGGCAGCCTGGGACTTAGACTCCGCGCCCTGAGGGACTTCGGTCTGTGGGTGGTGGTTGTCGTCAGCCAGTGCGTTACATTGTTAGGCCTGCCTGTCCGTTCCTCGGCCCCTGCCCTTACAGCAACTCAATGCATTTAGGCATCTAGACATGATGAAGATGACTTGCTAAAGTTCAAACAGAGCATGAGAATGGGGAAGAAAGCTGATTTAAGTGACTTTGAACGTGGCATCGTTGTTGGTGCCAGACGTGCTGGTCTGAGTATTTCAAAAACTACTGATATACTGGGATTCTCACACACCACTATCTATAGGGTTTAGAGAGAATGGTCCGAAAAAGAAAAATATCCAGTGAGTGGCAGTTGTATGGACAAAAATGGCTTGTTGATGTCAGAGGAGAATGGGCAGACTGGTTTCTGCGACATTCAGATGCAAGGGTCAGAATTTGGCATAAAAAACATGACGCCATGGATCCAAACTGCCTTGTACCTAATAAAGTGGCCGGTGAGTGTAAATATCCACACACTATCTATATGTCAATGCAGCTTTATAGTAGTGCCAACAACACTGTAACATAAAACACAAAACCCCAAGTACAAAAACTGATTAAATCGCAGTGTGCAATAAATCCACCTAGAAAAACATTTTTCCACAGTATTACTTGTTGTGCTACTATCTCACACCATGCTGTTAAAGGAATGCATCACTTGTGTCAAAATAAGATTTGTTCATGAAACACAGGGGTTGATTTACTAAAGACAAATAGACTGTTCACTTTGTAAGGGAAGTTGAAGTTTGCAAGGGAAACATGCCCAGAGATTAGTGAATGAGCTGTGGTGCTGCTGACTTCCATCATCCAATTATGTCCAAGCAAAAATGCAGTTTTTTCCTTGCATGTGATTGAGTATTCTTTGCACATTGTCATTTCACAGCATTCACTAAGCTCTGAGGAAAATGAGGATGGCATAGACTGCTATTCTTGCAAAATGCATACGCTTATTTGCCTTTAATTTCAATCTTCTTGTGTCCATAATAAAATCTCTATGAAGAATATATACTTTTCTCTTCTGCAGCATACGTTTTCCCACACCTTCAGTACAAACTTGAAATCAAACCAATGTACCCAGCACCTCAGGTTATATTCAACTACGCCAGAAAAATATGATCTTACTGCAAATTTAGGCCACAATCCTTTTTTCAGTAATCCTCCCTTTAATCTCACCACTTCTTCATCCAAGCATCTTGATAATCTCAAAAATGTAAAAACATATATAAAGCTCCACATAGTGTTATATTCTTAAAAATCTTATTTAAACAAATATGCTTCATATTGCAGTCGCCTAATACAGTGCTGTAACCCGCATCAGTTAAATCTGCATTAGTATGTACTGTAGACCCATAGCCGCTGAGCTCATCAGCTAAAGTGCTGCCTTTAGTGTCTCTTACCTGCCTGGCTTGGATCGGTCTCTGGCACTTCTCACAGCCAGCATTGAGTCCATACTCAAAGCACAT